TCCCTCCCTCACCACTCCCCTCTCCCCTGACTACACTACATTAGTAACATATCTTTCTGCATTTAGCTATGTATAGAATTATGAATAAAATATCTGTTCACCCATGAATTTTGTATGGAATTTTGAGGTCTGATTTCAAATGTGAAGATATTGAGGTTGGATAATGCCAGAAATTGATACTCCAGTAGGAATCCAGTAGGAGTCCAATGTCTGAAACATCACATTCACTTTCTCTAAGTTCAGATGGAGTCCAGTAGGAGTTCAGTAGGAGTTCAGTAGGACTCCAGTGGGAGTCCAGTGGGAGTCCAGTGGGAGTCCAGTAGGAAGGGGTTTGTATAATGCCTTTTTAGAGATTTTGTTAAAATCCAGTAGGAATCCAGTAGGAATCCTACTGGACTCCCGGAGTCCAGTAGGAATAGGTGGGGGAGTGATAAGTATTGCCTGGGTCAACTGATCTCTTCATGGATTGGGCTCAACATGTGTCATGGGTCAGCTGAAGAGCTCTAAATCCCATGCATTGTGGATCAGCCCACAGCCGTCTCATTTTTATTTGCCAAGTTTACCTCAGCTTTTCATTGCCGGTCATCATGCAGTTTACTGGGTCAGGTCCATCACCTACCAAGAAGCCGAGCACGGTGACATGGTCAGTCAGCTAGTACCCCATGAATTAAATATGCCTTGGATCCTGGGTCAACCTGTCTCTTCATGGAATGGGCTCATGTGTCATGGGTCTGCTGAAGAGCTTTGAATCCCATGCAGCGTGGATCAGACCAACCTGGTCCCATCCAGTTGACACTATACGGCCAAGTTTTGTTTTCACTCAGGTTTTATTTGCCAAGTTGCTCAAACATTACCTCGGCTTTTCTTTGCCGGTCATGGTCCAGTATTCGGTCATGCAGTTTACTGGGGTCCATGACTTCCCAAGAAGCCGAGCACGGTGACATTCACAAGGCAGTGAGATATATTATGCACACCCCCGGTTCAAAATCCCTACCAAGTTTATACTGACCAATGTTTCTTGTAAACATACCCATGTTGGAACGGGTCTGGCTCAAACAACCGCACTCGGCTGCCTGAAATAAACACCAAGCTGTTACTATGCTGGTCTCCATTGGACAAAGTTGCTCCAAGATCCCCCTGCTTTTCTCTGCCGGTCACAGTTTACTGGGTCGTGAAAGAAGCCGAGGCCTTACTGCTTTCATTATTATGTCCACCACAGGACTTCATATTAAATATGCCCAAAAAAAAATTGAAGATTGTCCAAAAAATATACATGTATGCTACTAACTATTAGGTAGACGGAGTTTGGACAGTTTGAACATCATTGTTTGTAACTTGCTGGCAGTCAGATTTTTGAATCCTCACCAAGTAGAAGACTTACTCTGTGCGGGGGTTTGAAGTGTGGGTTCGAGTTTCTGTAGCTGAGGTGACTTCCTATTACCCCCAATGTAAGGACCAGGCGAACTTGCCCAGGTTGGAGGAATTGGGTTTGGCGCCAACAGAAGGACCGCTGGGCTCTCAGATGCTGGGGGCAGAAAGACGGCTGGGGTTGGAGAGACTTGCACGTGATCGGTTGAAACTGGGTTTGGCAGAACGACACCTGGGGTCAGGGAGACTTGTACCTGCTGGCTTTTCTGACTGTGGTTGGGTGAGACTGAGTGATTGGTATTGATGCCAGTGTGCTTCTTCTCCTTGTTGCCGAGGAACTGGATAATGAGTGATTCCAGACTTGATTGGCGAGCACCGAGCCGCAGGTTGAGCTCCGAAATAGTAGTGACTGATTTGGTGAGGTCGTGGAGTGTTAGCTCGGCAGTTTCGATGCAGCTTGCAAGTTTCTCAAAGCCCCAGGTGAGACTCTCTTGTAACACAGCTGGCGTAGTCTCCCACTTGTTCTCCAGTGTCTTGACAGCTTCCCTCACCTCGGCTTCCAGTCTCTGGTGATCACTTCAGATGGACTGCAAATCTTCTTGTGTTTCCTTCCAACGCATGTGGGCAGACTCTTCAATACGGTCCATCCGGCGAGTCGCTCTGGTGATTTTTTCTTCCTGAAACCAAACGGAGGTCTCTAGACTTGCAATTTTCTCCGAGAGAGGACGGCTAGCCAAATCTTGATCTTGAATAAACCGGGTAATCTCTTCAAGCGCCAAAAGACATTGTGACAGGGTCACGGGTGAGTCAACCGCCAGAGGGAGAAGGGCACTTGCGTCAATATCTTGTTTTCGGACCACAAATGCCGAATACTCTCGCATAGTAGGGGTAGACGACTCCATGACGCTGACTTGCGCTTGTTGGTCTCGGAGTTTCTGCAGGAGGTCGGCTTGGCCATGAGCAAGTCTTCTGATCTCCTGCTGCATCGTCTGCATGTCGAAGTTTGGTGGGGGGCTCAAGGACCTAAAGTCAATCTTCTTCTGATAGAGCGCCGTGTCAACTAAGTTTTCAAGTTGAGAATCATGGGAAATGAGAAAACAACTTGAAACTTACGATGAACCTCCTTGGGATCTGGTGGGCTGACCTGCCGAGAACGAGATACCGAACACGAACCTTCTGGCCGGGACGTGCGCTCAACAGGTGGGGGTGTAAAGCTTTGTTGCATATAATTGACAGCCAAGCCCAATTCTATAAACGAAGTCAGCAAAGAATAACAAGTTTCATGAATTTTTTCACTTCAGTCACCCAGTGCCAACTGACTATTAGTCATGCAAACTCCATGTAAGTTACATGACTAAATGTCATGGACCATATCTATATTCTAGATATATATGGGTCCTAGAAAGCCCTGAAATCTAAAATATATTTTTGACACATGGACCCTGAAATGTCACACAAAAATTATAATGTCTGTGTCACACCACCAAAATATATTTTGCAAGTGAAATGCAGTAAGGATATATTTTCAGTGAGTGGACCCTGAAATGTCACTGTCACACCTTAGAAATATATTTTTGCCCTGGCTTGGCCTTAGGATATATTTTGTGATACAGATGTGGTAAGGATATATTTTTCTGGTCTGTAGTGGTGTCAGGGGTCTTAGTTTTAGCAAAAAAACTTGTGATTTTTTGCTGTCTGGGGTATATATTCTGGGAGTTTCTGCCATGACTTCCAGGGGTTTTGGCACTATGTTTGGCTTGTGCTCCCAGTATGTAGGTAGCAATAAGGAGCATCAATAGCATCTCTATGCTGATCTGTTTGGCAAACTGACATCCCATCTTGAACATTTGACTTCTGCTTGTTTCGGAAGAGGGTGATACTTTCTTGTCAACTTATGATTGACTTCTACCTCAGGTGGGGACATGGTGGTGTCATATGAGTGCTTCTTCGTCAACAAGTTCAGAAACATCTGGAATTGTTCTTAATACAGCACCATGCTGCTATATTGAAGCTATTTTGCCACACCCCCTTCCATAACATCTGAGTTGCCTAACTATCATCCACTTCAAATGACACTATGAATACAGTTCACATTACACAATTTTTTAGCTTGTCAGAGTTGACAAAGTACTTTGTTGTTTCTCTCTTTCTCTTTCCTCTCCCTCTCCTCCTCTCTCTCTTTCTCTTTCCCTTGACTCTTGATTGTAAATTTATGGACAACAAATTCCATTCTCCTCTAACAAATTCTGTTCACCATGTCATAATATGGGGTTCTTCTTTGTATTTTATATGGTTCCCTTCTTATCCACTTCAAATGACACTATGGTGATACAGAGTGTAACAATACACCCGTAAAAATGCGAATTTTAGCGATTTATCCTATAAAATCTCCTATAGTAGAAATACAGTCACATTGATCATAAGGATCGTTAGACGCAACCCGGTCTAGTTGATTAAAGTCTACATCCGAGAAATGTGCACGCCTTAGACAGTAGGAATTGCGGTCGGTTCGTGACCGAATCACCTCAATATACTCGAAGTCTAATAAAAGGCTACACTACCATGAAATAGTATGCTACCAAGTGTTCTAGAGTAAAAACACCCCCGCACAGGGTGTTGGAGTTTACACCAAACCAGGGTCTCACTTTATTATGGATTAAAAGATATTAATTCTAAAGATAAACACGCGAGCGTAGAAACTCGATGCGTACCTGATGCGAGAAGTCATTCGGTCACGTGCTACGAAGCATGATCCAAGAAGTCATGTGGAGAGACGCATCACGCACATCAACGCATCACAAATCATGGCATCATTGACCCAAGAAAACTAAGCTTCGTGAAATATTCCGAAGCCTGCCAAAAAAGAAAAACTATGAATGATTTGCCGTGCGGTCCGAGGCCCGGGCATAGTATCTAATAATAGAGAGAAAAATCACTAAGCGGACTGTTCGTCTCGGCTGAACTGATCGTGAAAACCGTTTACGGCGATTCCCGCGTACGCATCAATACTGATGCGTCGCGTCGCCACAATAGAGAAAACACTACGAAAACTTAAAAGAAGTCAGCTCAGTTGTGCCACACACAACCGAGCCACTTCAAACCTTTACAAAAAATCAGTGTTAATTCGTCCAACCTCTCGGACAACGCACGGACATGTAAATATAAATAGAAGACATAGAATAGTATAAAAAGAGGACGCGCGCAGGCTGAAACGCAAGGAATTATCCCCCGCGTTGACCAGCTGTCGCACTCCCAGTAGCATCTGAGGTAGTGGATAAGTTTGTAATCAATTTAAGGACTTTTCTTCGCAGACATAAGTAACGTGTGCCTGGAACCAGCATGTTAAGTGGGGATCACAAAGCTTTTGTAAGGTTGTCTCGTCAATTAGTAAGAGAGCTCTCTACTATTACCGAGGAATCCAAGTGAGCGTGCTTGAAGAGTCTTTAAGACTAGTTTGGACCGCATCAGAGGCATAATAAAAGCTCAAGGGAGTTATAAAAGTCTACAAAGCACAATTTCCTTGTCATTTCTTTGTATACAATTAGAACGCAATCCCAGAAAACCGAGACAGTCCCAATAAAAGCTGTTTCCCTTCGAAGACTACTAAGTTTCGAATTCTATACTGTGTCCGCATGTAAAACAATACCTTTTGTTCCAAAAAGGTCTACTAGACTTAGACAAGTGATATAAAATATACAAAAAATGTTTCCCCGAACTTCTACTTAAGTTCTAACAAAACAAGTGTGGTAATTCTGTTTACCGTACGAACCCGAACTCGAAGTACCGAGCACGTACCTGTGGTGATAAGTGTTTAAGGTGTTTGTGTGTGTGTGTGTTGTTTAGGTGTTCACACATCTTGTCAGCGCGTCCGATTACACTATTCTCACTCCCGCGTGACACAGTCTTCTCAATGGATACAGTCCACATTAGAGAACTTTTGACATCCAATGCCGATGTGTCTGGCAAATTGACATCCCACCCCAAACAACTCCATCACTTTAGTTTACACTTCCAAATACAACAACCAACTTACCAGCTTTCCTCTCCAATAGGGTGTTTCACAGTAGGCCAACTTTGCTTTCAACTTTGATCCAAACTTGTGGGCCAACTTCAACAAATTTGATGGGAAAGTTGGCCAACTCTACTGTGAAACACCTGGAACTGCTGAAAACATGAAGTTGGGCTGATTTGTACTTGAAATCACTTCCAAGTGCAAATTTTTGCCTATTTTGGACACATGGGAAGTTGAGAGGTGAAGTTGGGATCAAAGTTGGCTCCAAATTGGCATCAGGACCACAATTTGGATCCCAACTTGATGAAGTTGGCCAAACTTTGTCCTTCCAACTTTGCAAAAGTTGGTTGCCAGTTGGCCTACTGTGAAACACCCTAATGTTGTGTCTGGAAAATCAACATCCCACCCCAGATACATTATTTCTCAATTGTATCCTGAATATTTCAATTATACCCTGAACCAAGATATATTTATCAACTTTATCCTGAATTAAGATACATTATTTTCCAACTACATTCTGAACCAGGATATATTTTTCAACTACATATATGTTATATATTTCCTCTAAATCCTGAACCAAGATATATATTTCAACTATATCTTGAATCAACATACATTATTTTTCAACTATATCCTATATTTTCCAACTACATTCTGATCAAGATATATTTTTGAACTATATCCTGAACCAGGATATATCTTTCAACTATATCTTGAACCAGGATATTTTTGATCTATATCATGAACAGGATCATGAATATATGTCATCCTTGCCCATAATTACAGAATATATCCAGGATATATAATTTGGAGATGTATCTTTAGATTTCACAAGAAGATTTCACAAGACAAAGCTGCAATTTATTGAATCTAACTACATAAATTTACACCACAGTATTGACTATTAAACAGAGGCAGAGGAAAGGAGGGGAAGAGAGAGAGAGAGGGGGGGGGTGGGCAATGAGGGAGGAAAGGAGTGGTAGGCAATGAGGGAGGGGAGAGGTTGTAGGCAATGAGGGAGGGGAGGAGTGTA